GAGGAGGAGGAGGAGGAGGAGGAGGAGGAGGAGTCGGAGGCGGCGGAGGAGTAGGAGGAGAAGGAGGAGGAGGAGGAGGAGGAGGAGGAGGAGGAGGAGGAGGAGGAGAAGGGGATCGCCGTGATGGAAACTGTGGGAACGAATAATGACATGAACATAACATCTCGGAGGTACGCGCGGATCTCTCGGATCCGCGCTCGAACCCCTTGGCGGCGCTTCTGGTGCCGCCCCTAGCGCGCTCCGCGCGCCAGGGAGGGGAGTCCAGCGCCGATCCGAGAACTGCGCGCGGACCTCCGAGGTTTCATGCTTATGTCAATGCTCGTCTCCCTAAAAGCAGGTCCTGAGGTTTCTCGCCGTCTTCGGGCTCTGGGGTCCCTCTACGGGCCCCAGGGCTGTCAGAATGACGGCTCAGGACGAAGAGCTCGTCATGGGGGAAGGCCCTCGGGGTCCAGGACCCGTTTCCCTCAGGACCCGTTTCCCCCATGCTGATGGGGACGAGCCCCCCACAGAGATAGGCTTCCCAGATGGGGTCGGATCGGAGGCGAAATCCAAACTCTACCCTCGCCGATCAGCGATTCGGGCAACCCGATGGGCGGCGGGGGCAGGGTAGGTAATTCGTCGAACACGTGCCGAGATCCGAATACTACCTCTGCCTCCCATCGGTTCAGGGGAATCGATAGTTGGCGAGGGTGGGGTTCGGATGCCGCCACCTATCAGAGTAGATGGTGTCGGGGGATCGCTCGATAGCGCTGATGCATCGGCGATGCGGCTTGATGTGGAGTTCGGTCGTATCCACAACGACGTCGCCGCTGCATCGCCAGTGCCGCCGATGCTTCGCGGGTGAATTGCCGATGCATCGGGGATGCGGCGCGATTCTCCGACCCCATCTGCTCGGACCCCCTCTTGGAGGCTTCTGACAACACAGTTCGGGCACGGGTCCTGTCCCCCCTGCGACGCCTGCACGCACGATCGCCCAGGGGCGGGGGTACGGGGTGCTGTGCTGGGGCCGTGGGCCGAGCGCGAGAGTGATTCTGGGAGGTCCCCAGACATCCAGCCCTTTGGTTTTTTCGATGCGTAGGTCTCTGGATCTCACGGCCGCTGTTCCAGGGCCCGTTCTTCGTCCTGGCTAGATTTTAACGGTCCCGAAGCCCTTAACTGGCCTTTCGAGGCCGAAAAACCGCGACGAGCCAGTCGCGCCGAGATTCTGTGGAGGCGTCGGATGTCTGGATCATCGGCGCCCCGCATGTGAGATGGAAGCGATGTGTGTATTCTCCCTCGGGAGCGAGGCGGATGAGGGGGACGCCGTCGCCCCTGGCAAGTCGCTGCTCGCTGGCATGAGCAAGAAGGAGTTTGCGAGGCTGCTGGACAGGCTGAGGGGCGAGCACTCGGAGCGGGTGCGCTTCTGCAAGCGGGGCGGCGGAAGCGCGGTGGTCGAGAACAGGCGGCGCGCTCTTCAAAGGGGCCTCTCGCCTGCCATGGGTCGGGAGAAGTGGCCCCCTCTTCCTCGGCGGAGGGCCAGCAGGAGGGCGGCGGAAGCAGAGCGAGTGCGTCTCCGCGGGCGGGAGCTCGGTGGAGGGCAGGGGGGGTGTACTCCAGATTTCGTAATAAAGGGAGGGGGGTCTCATTTCGGGGGGGGGGGGGGTCTCTTCCAGGCTGTCTTGGAGGGCCTGGGGGGGGTCTGGGGACGATGTTTTGGAGGGTTCTCCCACGGGGGAGGTCTGAAATGGCTTGTCTTGGAGGGTCCAGACCCCCTCCCTTTTATTACGAAATCTGCAGTAGAGTTCGGCCTCCGAGGGATGCAATCTTTTTTGTGTGCTCGGGGCTTCTCGAGTCGGCCAGGTGGGAGGGAAGCCGGAAGATCGAGTTCGGCATCGAGGAGGTCGAGGAGCCCTCAAGCCTGGACGCGGTGCTCAAGGACGCCGAGAGGTGCTCGGTGCTGTGGAGGAAGAGCCACGGTGGCAAGGCCCCCAGGATGGAGGGCTTCTCCGAAGGGCTTAGGCTCCTCCTCCTCCTCCTCCTCCCTCTCCCCTCCTCCTCCTCCTCCTAGCCATTTCCAGGTTTCGAGCAGATTTGCGAACCTTTGGTCCAGCGCACTTGGAAGTGGCGCCAGCTGGACCGAGCCATCCCAGTGTTTTCATGAATCGAGGTGGCAACGGGCCTCCGTGGCAGGCAGCCCAAGGCCGAATCACGTGGCGTTGCCGCAACACGAGCTGCGCGTTCGACAACTTTTCCTTCAGGTCGACCTGTCGGGATTGTGGCGCGAAGGCGCAGCAGCATGTTCTCAACCAGCTTCGTGTCAAGCATAATGCCAAAGCGTCGCCCACCCCCAAACGCTGGCTCAGTGGACCTCCGCGGCTCGTCCAAGATGGGGGAAAAAGGTGGCAGCGCAGGCAAAGTGGGCAAGGCAGCTGCCGCGGCAGCCTTGTCCAATGAAGATCTTGTCAAGTTGCTCAAGGAAAAAGGTCTCAAGGAAGGCTCTGAACTGGAGTCACAGCTGCAGGACATGTTCAAAGAACAGGATGAGGCGCCTGCGCCAGCCAACCTCAGCGTCAAGAGCTTGCAGGATCTTCTCCAGAGGCGCACTCACAGGAAGAAGCATATTGAGAAATCCGAGGAGACGATCAAGGAGGCCAAGGAGGCGCTGCAGGAGGCGCTGCGGCTCTACGAGACGGAGCTCGCGCAGTACAAGGCCCACTAGGACACCCTTGGCCAAATCGAGTTCTACATTAAGGAAGCTCAGTCCAAGCCGGTGCTCCCAGAGCCACCATCTGGACCAGAAGAAGTCAATCCTGCTCAGGAGCTTGCGATGCTCGAGGTCCTGGACAAAGCGGTGCGGAATAACGCAGGGCGATTCGGGCTGGATGCCGTAGGGCTGCTCCAGGCGGCCACCGTCAAGAAGGAGGATCTCAAGGCGCAGCTGCCGAAACTGCCCGCCGCAGACGCTGCTTCCCCGCCTGATGGTCCTGGGGCTTCTCAGTCTGCAGCTCCTCTCATCGGGGATCCAGCCAGTGCGGGGCCCATGGGCTTCGACCATGAGGACAACGATCTTCGAGACAAGCTCAAAGCCGCAGGAGTGGCTGCAGCGGGTGACTCTGAACAGCTCAAGCGCTTCCTGGCCGACATTGCTGCCCACGGCATGAGACAGAAGTTGGGGTAGCAAGTTGTCGTTAGACCTGCTCATATGGACGCTCAACCCAGGGGCCTGGACTTCCGCCCCGGTCATGCTGGAGTGGGCCAAACATGATTTTCAAGGTGAGGAACAACACCGTCTTCCCGACATTGTGTTCCTTCAAGAGCATCGTCTCAAGGATGCTTTTCGGCGGGCAAGTGCCCGCAAGTGGTGCACCCAGAGAGGCTTCAAGGTTTCCATGCCGCTGGCGGATAGCACAGGCGCGGAGCCCACGGAGTTGAGTGCAGGTTGTGCAGTTCTCAGCAAATGTCCAGCGGATCCTTTGGATATGGGTCAAGGAGCCCTTCCGGATTCTAGAGTTGCGGCCATGACAGTCAACATTGGCCTATCCAGTCCTGTTGTTGTGCTCTCAGTGTACCTGCATATCAGCATAGGGCTCGCGGGGGCCAGCATTGATCTACTTGGCATTCTCTTCCAGGCCGTGGGCTCGCTGCCGTTCCCGTGGGTCGTTGGAGCAGATTGGAATCTAGTCCCAGAGGACATGCAGAAGTGGGCTGCCAAGGCCAAGGCAGATGTGGTCTATTCAGGGGAACCTACCTTTGGAGCTCGTGAATAAGAGTTCTTTGTGTGCAGCATGGTCCTCGCGCCGTTCGTTTCCATCCTCAAGGGCATCTCTGGAGCGCCAGCGCGCTCGCGCGTCCCTGTCGGTCTGCTACTCGAAGGTCTCTGAGTGGAGGCCAAGGTGCCCAAAGCCCTCCTGCCCATGAAGTTCCCGATTGATCAACCAGTTCCTGTTCGGCCAACTTCAGCGGAACGGTCGCTCAGCAGCTGGGCATGGAGACTCGGAGTTGAACTGCCTTCTGATCTCCACGCGGCCTGTCAACTCTGGTTTCGCCATGCTGAGGAGTACCTCCTGGACTTTCATGACATATCCACTCGGTGCTCCGCAGCCTACGCAGGACGAGCTGACGGTCTTCGAGTGCAGCATGTTGCAGTGGGCTGCGCCTGTCAGGGTGATCTCAGGCAGGTCTCCTCGGTCGAAGGAAGGAGGTTGGCTTCTTTCTTCTCGGCCTGCATGCGCTTGCATGCCAGCAGCTCGGAGTCCCGCGTGAACGGTTTCAAGGTGCTGGCTGCCCAGCGTAGACAGGCCCCCCACAGTGATGCGCGTTGCTTTACCAGCCTGGCCTCAGGGCTCCAAACCAGTGCAGTGGTGCAGCTATCCCAGGAAGGATTTAGCACAGCTCTTAGTTGATGGTGGGGGCGGGGCTCTGGGGTTCCTCTGGGGTTTGGGGGGTTTCCTCTCTCGCCTCCAGGGCGGGGAAAGAGCTGCAAGCGCATCGGCCTGGAAGGCGCGGGCTAAGGCTGCAGCCAAAGATCAAGGGGGGAGGGCTACTTCCTGTTTTGTTCGAGGGCTTCTGCCAGAGACTCAGATCTACGCAGAAGGCACGGACGTCTTGCCGTCGCTCCCTGTTCAGCAAGCAGTCGGTCGGCTGCTCGAACAGTGGGGGCCGCCGTGGAATGCTCCCAAGCGTGCTGGTGAAATTCTCCCTAGGGGCTGGGGTCCTGGGTGGTCCCCTCCAGGCCTTCTGCGGCCTCGGTTCCGTCTCGGGGCCTTTTGGTTCCTGGTGGGCTGGGTCCCTGGGCGCCGCTTCTGAGGGTCACCATCGCGCAGCTCAATGAAGTCTTGGCGTCTTTCTCTGGCTCGTGCGGGCTAGGATGGGACCACTTGCATCCGCGCCAGGTGTTGTGGCTTCCCGATCGTTGCAAGCAAGTTATCCGGGATGTCTTAATGGGCTGGGAGCAGGGTCCAGAATATTTGGAGCTCTGGAACCCCTTGTTTTTTTTTCCCCCGGGCAAGCCTGGCCCTGCCGCGGGAGTTCGGCCGATTGTCCTGGCCTCGGTCCGGGGAAGCATCTGGTCCCGTCTTCGGCAACCTGTGGCCAGAAACTGGGAGCCCTCGCTCAACAATTCGGCTTTCTGGGGTGGGGCTGGCCTAACCTGCGATAGGGCAGGCCATGTCCATGACATAGTACAGAGGTTTGCGAGGCTCAAAGGCTTTGCCGCCATCAGTGGGCTGCTTGATTCAAGCAAATATTTCGAGCACATGCCTCGCGAGGACCTGCTGCGGGAAGGCCTCCGCGGGGTTCCCGATGCAGCTTCTCGAATGCCCCTGCGCAGGCTATCGTCTGCCCGGGCGCGCTCGCTGGAAGGCTGCCATATCAGACGCAGTCAGAGCTAATGGCACTGTCGCGGCAGGGTGCAGCTGCGCGCTAGCTCTGGCCAAGTTTTAGGTTCACGCTGTGATTGTCTCTCTCCAACGTGAATATCCAGCGGTCAGGCTTCATAATTTAGTTCGTGAGTTCCTTTTACTGGCCATTGGAGGCCGTCAACATGTGCTAGAGCAGCTCCCGCGAGCCATGTCTGATCGAGTGGCCGCGTTGCAGCGCCGACAGCTAGTTGTCCAATGGGGCAGAATTTGTTATATAACTAGCTCGACGGACGTAGATGGTGACCTCAACCAGGGGTGGGGCCCCAGCTCTGGGCAAAGGCTCAGCATCGGAAGGGTTCTTGGCACAGATGCCAACAGTGGTGCCGCCCGCAGCGTCACGGAGCAAAACGAATGATTGGCCAGAGCTGCCTCTGTATCCCTGCGAGTTTTTGCCTTGAGGAAAGCGGGGCAAGCGTCGGCGCGATCATGGGTGGCTCCCCTACGGCGACGGCGGTGTGGGTGGCGGCTGTCACGGGTATAGCTGACCCGAAGCTTGCCGCTCTCGAGCTAGCCACTCTCAGAGGGGAGTGCCGTGTTCCACCAGGCACTTCGGTTTCTCTCAGGTTGCGGGTCACCCCCAGAGGGGCCACCAGAGACCCCTGGGTTGTTGTCGTCTGTGACGCCATCGAGCGCTTGGTCCGCTGCAGGCTTGCCTGCAGGAAGCGCACTGTCTACTGGGGAAAGAGAGGCCTTGGTCTCAAGTGGTCGACCCGTCTCAGGCCTCTGTGCTGTCTCTCGCTAGGGTTGGTTGCACTTTGCCCGCTGCCGACGTGCTCTGGCATCCTAGATTTGGGGAGTTCAAAATTGTTGATTTCTCTCCTGCAGTCTTCGTTGATCTTGTCAGGCCTTTGGCGCTACAGGCTGCGGACATCGCGGCGATGGAGAGACTCCAAGCGCCCTGGTTTTCCCCTCTCAATTGGCCTCCCCTCACTCGTCTCATTAACAAGGACTGTGATGACAGCTGGTCGCAGCGCCGTGCTGCTGTCATTCGGAGCCTGGTCGGTGGATCCCACTGGCCTCAAGCTAGGTTGCACTCCAAGGGTAAGGCTCAGTCTGATGCCTGCGTCCACTGGCGCGAGAGGTACCTTGTGGCACCGCTTTTATGATTGCCCCAGGTGTTTTCATGTCAGGCGTGAGGAGTGCCCACGGCATGTCTTGTAGGCCGCGCAGTATGTAAATATGTATAGCAGATAGGAGAGGAAGCTGGTGAGCTCATGGCCAGGTGCCTCTTTCCCTCCCCCTCTCTCTGCTTCCCTTTCAAGGAGGTTCCTCAGGAGGATCAGCTCCGGTTTGTTGGTGTCTTCCCTGGGTGGGGATTTTCAGGTGCTGTCTTCGTGGACGGCTCGGCCTTCCACTCCCACCTTCAGGGATTCAGTCGTGCAGAATGGTCGGTTGTTCAGATCGACCCAGCTGGTAACCTGATCGGCGCCGTGCACGGCGCCGTGCCGCTCCGCGCGGCTCCAGGGCGGGCGGCTCGGTGTGTGTGTGTGTGTGTGTGTGTGTGTGTGTGTGTGTGTGTGTGTGTGTGTGTGTGTGTGTGTGTGTGTGGGGGGCTGGGGTTTCCGAGTGCTCTCTCAGTTCAGCGAATGGTCATCAGACCACCCGCTGCAAGTCCACGCAGATTGTTCTGGCACGGTAGGTTGTGCCACATATTCTAGCATTGCCCTCTCGGCCTCCGACCCTCGTCGTCACATGTGGATTGATTTGGTGGGGCGGCAACGGCAGACTGGCCGCGGCTTGCAAAGTCGAGGCTCACAGGGGCCTAGGTGCTGCCACCTCGGATCATGAGGAATTGCTGATTAAAGGTAACGCTCTCGCGGATAAGTGGGCCAAGAAAGGGGCGCGCCTCTGGGGCGTTCCTCAGGATCACTTGGACTTTTGTCTCTGGGTGTGAAAGGATAGCCTCGGACATTGTCAAGTGGCAGAGCAGATGCCAGGAAGTTTTTGGAGAGCTGGAACAGCCAGACTCTCAGGATCTTGTAGGTGCTGTGGACATAGTTTTGGATGCGGGTTTACCCCCTGTTTCCCTACCTAGGCTCTGCCTAGAAGGGTTCTTACTTTATTAGTTTCAAGGGCCGGGCGGTGGAAAACGCCCCGGGCGGTTCCCCCAGGATCCGCCCCGCGGTTCCCCCAGTTGCGCCCCCCTGGGTTCACCCAGCTTAGCTAAACTTAGTTAAGCTAAGCTAAGCTAAGCTAAGTTAAACTTAGCTTAGCTTAGCTTAGCTTAGCTTAGCTTAGCCTAGCTTAGCTTATTTCATCCTAGCTCATCTTAGCTTAGCTTAGCTGAGCTTTGCCAAGCCTAGCCTAGCTTGGCTTAGCTTAGCTGAGCTTAGCTTAGCTGAGCTTCTCTTAGCTTAGCTTATCTCATCTTAGCGTAGCTTAGCTTAGCTGAGCTTGGCGTAGCTTAACGTAACTGAGTTTAGCTTAGCCCAGCTTAGCTTCGCTTAGCTTAGCTTAGCATAGCTTACCTTAGCTTAGCTTAGCTTAGCTTAGCTTAGCGCAGCGCAGCATAGCGCAGCGCAGCATTCGCACAGCATAGCATCGCATAGCCAAGCATAGCGTAGCATATCATAGCATAACGTAGTTCAGCATAACATAGCATATCATAGCAGAGCATATCATAGTATAACATAACGCACCGCGCCACATCATATCATATCATAGCATTGTTCATCATAGCACAGCGCAGCATATCATAGCACACCACATCATACCATAACATATCATAGCACAGCATAGCTTAGCATAGCAACGCATAGCGCAGCATATCCTATACTATTATAACAATGTATATCATAGCATATCATATCCTCCCATGTAGATGTAGATGCAAGTGTAGATGTACATGTAGCTGTCGGTGTAGATGTAGATGTTGCTTTCCTAAATGCTCCAACTCCTAGGTAGGGTCGTACGGGGATAATTTAATTCAGGCCTGTGTGGATGAAGGTGTGGCGCCGAACGGAGATTGGTCCTTGGCTGTGGGGGTCGAGCTTCCTCGCCCCGCTCCGCGCCTTCCTCCTCCGCCCACTGTGGCGGGGTCTGCCGAACCAGGGGAGGCAGATGATTCTTTTATCTCTGCTTCTGGCGTCCCCTGGGTAGTCAGGGGCCACTCGCTGGTGCAGGCCTCTATCACCGACCAAGGCCAGGACCTAACGGACCTTTTGTTTTGCAGAGTTTGTGGGGCCTCGGCGCCCTCCTCGGCGCGAGGTCTCAGTGAGGAGTGCAAGGGTTTCAAGCATCCTGGCCTCAAGACCCAGCGGCTTAAGTTGAAGAGGGTATTGTTCCCAGGGCGCGCTCATGGCAAAGCCAGAGTCGGCCCTGCCTTTGGTCCGACCCTCGCGATGAAAGCTGTTTGAGGTCCTCTGCTGGGTGTTGTTGGGGGCGCTGCTGCTGCTGATGCTGCGGGGAGCCTTGACAACGAGTCTGTGGAGAGACAGTTGTCGGCTGGCAGTCACATGGGCCCTGTTTCCAGAGAGTCTGGTGCGAGGGGGCCTACAGGCTGTCTCAGTAGCCAAGTTGCATGGCTTCGCCTCGCCTGATGATCTTGTGCAGTGGGAGAGGTCCTGCCAGAGGTCTCAGAAGGAGGCACCCGATCTTATCGATAGCGATTAAGCTCTTTGGCGCCGTGCGGGGAGGGGCACCTTGGAATGCCCGTATTGTCAGTACCCTCCTCCTCCTCCTCCTCCTCCCTCCTCCTCCTCCTCCTCCTCCTCCTCCTCCTCCTCCATCTCCTCCTCGCCCTCCTCTTCCTCCTCCTCCTCCTCCTCCTCCTCCTCCTCCTCCTCCTCCGCCTCGGGTCGCCTGCGGCCCAGGGGTAGACCGTGCACCCCAGGAGTGAAGACGAGGCCATTGAGGACAAGGAGAATGCCGCGTTCCTGCGCGTCGTAGCCCCTCGGGCGCTCTCCGTGCTGAAGACGCTCGCAAGCTGCAGCGACCACCACTGCGCGCTCACCGCTCCAGCTATCAGGCACGCGTGGCCGCTGATGGCCGCCGAGCCGTGGAGACACATGGTCCTCGAACTGCTGCTGGAGTGGTCACAGCGCTCCATCAGCGCCAAGGCCCTCGCGGAGTTCGCGGGCCGCAACCCCGCGCCCAGCCTGCGGCTTCTCGTTGAGGCTGCCACCTCGGACGCGAAGGAGAACGTACTGCCGCCCGGTTTCGACAGGATCACGAAGGAGGCCGCCGAGCGCATGGACGCGGGCAAGGGCAGCGTCGACGACGCGCTGGAAGAGATTTTCCAGGGCCTCGCTGCATGCAGCGACGCGGAGCTCGCGGTGAGCACGCTGGGGAACGTGTGCTCGGCGTCGGGGGGCTCTGCCTATCCAACAGCACTGACCATGGCCGGCCCCACCTTGGGCTCGGGATCGATGCAGACGCCCTCTCGGCGAAGCCCGGAGGGCGCACCCACCGGTCCTGGGCCGAGGGTGGGGCTGCCCGAGGTTCGGTGTCCGTGGAAAATTGGCGTCCTCCGAGGCGGGTCACAATAACGTGCAGTTCCGGGAGCACATGCTGCCGTTCTGCGAGCCGCTCGTTTCGGCGCTTGCACGGATGCTGGCAAATCTTCGCCTCGGCGGCCGCGCGGCGGGCGCCTCGGGAGGCTCCGATCCACCGATAGGGGCTGGATCGGGCCGAAGTTCTGTGGAACAGAAGGAGTTAGCGAAGACGCCTACGACGAATCACCGCCGCCTCCTGCCTTTTAGAACCGCCAGTGTGGCCGAGCGTTGTGGCAAGAGCTCCGCCAAGCTGTCGGACCATGTGTTCCCCCGACTGTTGTGGAAACCTTTCGTGGAACACTTGGGGGAGGATGGCGTGGAAGACCAGGAGAAGGCGGAGGAGGAGGTGGAGGAGGTTGTGGAGGAGGAGGAGGAGGAGGAGGAGGAGGAGGAGGAGGAGGATGAGGAGGAGGAGGAGGAGGAGGAGGAGGAGGAGGAGGAGGAGGAGGAGGAGGCATCTTGGGAGCCTATGGGGACATTCTTGGGGCCTCCTGGGAGCTTTCTGAGAGCCTCTTGGAGGCATCTCGGGGGCCTCCTTGGGCCTCTTGGGGGCCTTTGGGGGCTTCTCGGGGGCCTCTTTGGCCGTCTTGGTGGGCTCCTGGCCCGTCTGACGCTGTCGGAAGCCGTCCTGGGGGCCTCTCTGGCCCGACTTGGGGCCCTCTTGGAATGCTCCAGGGCCGTCTTGGAGGCTTTCTTGGGCGTCTTGGAAGCCTCTTGGGCTGTCTTGGAGCCCTCTTGGGGCCGCCTTGGGGGCCTTTTGGGCCGTTCTGGGGCCATCCTGGAGGTTTCTTGGCCGTCTTGGGGCGATCTTTGGGGGCTCTTGGGTCGTCTTGGGCCGTCGGAAGGCCCAAAAGAAGCAAATGCCCAAATCCTTCAAACACTGAAACAAATGATTTTGGCCTCTTCGAGCCTTCCTGGGGGCCCTCATGGATGCCTTTTGGGCCGTCTTGGGCCTCTTGGGGGCCATCTTCGGCCGTCTTGGTGGGCTCCTGGCCCGTCTGACGCCGTCGGAAGCCATCCTGGGGGCCTCTCTGGCCCGACTTAGGGCCCTGTTGGAATGCTCCAGGGCCGTCTTGGAGGCTGTCTCGGGCGTGTTAGAGGCCCCTTGGACCGTCTTTGGGCACATGTGGGGCCGCCTTGGGGGCCTCTTGGGCCGTTCTGGGGCCATCTTGGAGGCCTCTTGGTCGATCTTGGGGCGATCTTGGGGCCTCTCGGGGCATCTTTTGGGGCCTCTTGGTCGTGGAGCCTCTACGAGGCCTCTTGGGCTCTCTTGGGGGCCTCTTGGGGGCCTCTTGGGGGCCTCTTGGGGGCCTCCTGGGCTCCTCTTGGGGCGGAAGGCTCGAACTGTCCGATTCGTGTTTCCCCTCTTGGGCCCCTGTTGGGGCCGTCTTGGGGCCCTCTTGGGCGATATTCGGCACCTCTTGGGCCGTTGCGGAGCCCTCTTGGACCGTCTTGGGGCCCTCTTTGGGCCTCTTGGGCTGTCTTTGGGCGGTCTTGGGTGCTTCTGGGGCCATGCGTCGGAAGCCCGAACACGTGAGAACGCGAAACGCACCGACAACAAATGCGGACAGTTACTGTTTTTGTTGCCTCTTTGGGCCCTCTTGGGGGTCCTCTTGGAACGCTTCTGGGGCTTCTTTTGGGCCTCTTGGGCCGTCTTGGGGCCATCTTGGGCGTTTTGGAGCGCTTTTGGGCTGCCTTGTATGCCTGGGCGCCTTCTGGGGCCCTCTTGGCCCGTCTTGGGGCCTTCTGGCCTCTGGAAAAGTCATGCGGGGCAGCCCGAGAGGGCGCGGGAACGCCTCGGAAATTTGGGATTTTTGGGCCCCAGCCCCTAGATTACTGTAATCCCAGAGTCCTGATCACAGAGAACAGAGGACACATGAGGACCTGGAGAAAACTCCACTTCGCGCCTCGCGGCACAGTGGCGGGTTAGGGAGGGACGGATGGAGGAGAAGTAGGACGGGAGGAGAATGAGTAGCCCAAGCGCTGTGTTCTCAGGTGTGGCAGGTGCTACTGGCTCAAGCTTGGAGGAGCCACCCGCTTCCTTGTGCGCTTGCTCCGGGACTGGACCACCGCACGGTGTGGTCATTTAAGCGCCGATGAAGCGGCCGTTTGCCGTCATCGCGTGTGTGAGCGCCAGAGGAAGGCCAGGGTCTCGGTTTCTCGCATCATCCTTGGCCAGCTCAGCGCGGGGGGATGGTTTCTTGCTGTCCGCCATCGTCGTCTACAGCGTTTTCGGCGTTCGGGGCTCTGCGCATGCTGGTCATCCACTGTTCGTCGCCGTCTTCTGCCATCCGCCCGCCTCGCTGGTGGCAGGGTGGGCGGGGCTGTCTGCACACCCTGTCAGTGGTGTGGTCTGCGCCCCCCTGGGGGACTGTTGCATCGGAGGTTGATCGACCTCCTACCCTGACACGTCGATTAAGGAATTGGCCGTTTTCGCTTCGCGAGGGGGCCTCGCGGCCGTCATTCTTGCGGGGCCAGGTCCGTCGGTTTCGGTCCCAGGGCGTTGGTCACCAAGGGGAGGTCTACTAGGAGGGGGGGTTTGTCCACCGCGGATTGCGCAGCAGGTGTCCTTTCGCCACGCCCGGGCGAGGCCGCTGCCGCCTCCTGCTCTCCCAGTCTGCTCCTGGCCAGTGGAGCGCTGGGCCTCGCGTCGTCCAGGTCGGCTGCCCCCTATCGATATTGCGCTGGCCTTCTCCCATGCAGCCCGCTGCGCCAGGACGCTGCTCTGCTGGGCCAACTCCTCGACGCTAGCCTTCTGCTTGTTGATCGCGGTCTCGGCGGTCGCCGTCTCTTTTGCCAACTGCGCCAGCATCTCGCTAGGCTGCTAGTCGGCAGCTTCGAACAGGTCAGTGACTGTGCGGATGCGCGCGTGCCGCGACTCGCGATTCATCCTCATCCTTCTCGTCCTTCTTTTCTCCTCAGGCAGGGCGGCGCGAGAGAAGCGCGAACTTAGCTGCCCTTGCCTCTCCCGCTTCAGCTCGGCCCTGCAGGTCGCCCGCGCGGGGCCCGCAGCCGTTACCGACTCGGGCCAGCTCCCTGCCCACTTCCGCGGGACGGGCGCGGGCGTGCTCGTCCGCGGTCTCGCCGTCCACGGCGCTGTCTTCCGACGCGGGGGCGGCAGGGCTGGACTTGGACTTGGGACTTTCAGCGCGGGTCTGCAGCCAATCCCGCGGATGCGTCGCTGCTTTTGGCTGTCGCCAGTCCGTCGCCCTGGCTCCTTCTTCTCCGTCTCTCCCTCCGCTCCTCCCCCCTCCCTCCGTGCCTCCTCTCTCCTCTCCTCTTGCTCCTCGCTTCCCTCGGCCCTGCCTCCTCTCGAGGCAGCGGATTCGTGCTGCTCCCCGCACGCGTGCGGGCGCTTGGCCTGCGCAGTGTGCACCGCTCACGTGCCTGCTGGACACATGACGTTTTTTTTTTTTTTTTTTGCTTCTCCTCCTCCTCCTCCTCCTTCTTTTTGCACTTCTCTCGCGGTCGGGCCAGTTCCTTGGCCTCGGCGGAGGTCGGCGGGCGGGAGCTTCGACCTGCGACGCAGGGCAGCCTGCGTCGCAGCGGCCGCGGAGGCGCAGAGGGCTCTCTTCACGTGGCCTCCGAGGCACGCCGGCTTCTGCAGGCCGCACGGCTGACTTCTCGTGCGCCAGGCGTGCTACCCTGAGTGCTCTCCGCGTGCGCGACGTGCGCCGCGGCCGATGACGTTCGGCCCCGCGGCAACTCCTGCAGGACCTTACCGCCCCCGTGCGCTGGCAGGCCCAGACCTGGGGCGGACCAGGCCGATATGATAATGCTTGCAGGGGGACAGCGGCATCCCCTCTTCCCGGAGGCCGGAGAGCCTCCCAGGATAAAGTCTTGAGCCTGAAATGGCAGCCATGGCGGGGGGGGGAGGAGGAAGAGGGAGAAGGACCCACGCGCAGCGAGGGCAGCCCAATGCAGGCACACAAACAAAGCAGGAGGAGGAGGAGGAGGAAAAGGAGGAGGACCAGGAGGAGGAGGAAGAGGAGGAGGAGGAGAAGTATGATGAATGCGGGGGTGGGGGGTGGGGGGTGGGGTGGAGAGAGGCAAGGAAGGAGAAGGAGGGAGGGGGTGTGTGTGATGGGAATAATGATGATGCTGCTGCTGATGATGATGATGATGATGGTGGTGGTGGTGGTGGTGATGATGATGATGAAGATGATGAAGATGATGACGATGATGATGATGCTGATGCTGTTGATGATGCTGATGAGGATGATGATGAGGATGACGTTCCTGCTGCTGCTGATGACTATGCAGCTGCTGCTGCTGATGATGATGATAACGTTGATGATGCCGTTGCTGCTGGTGATAATGGTGATTTTGCTGATGATGCTGCTGCTGCTGATGATTATGATGATGATACTGATTCTTCTTATAATTATGATAGTGGTCATGTTGATTGGTGGTGATGCGGCTGTCACGGATGATGATGCTGGTGCTGACGATGCAGATGAAGATGAATATGATTATGTTGATGATGGTGATGACGATGATGATGATGATGATGATGATGATGATGATGAGGATGCCGATGCTGATGCTGCTGATGATGGTGACGTTTGTGAATATGATGAGGATGATGTTGATGGTGGTGGTCATGCTGATGCTCATGATAGCGACGACGACGATGATGCCGACGATGATGATAATGACGATGACGCTGCTTGTGATGATGATGCTGGCTGATGATGATGATGCTGATCATGATGCTGCTAATGTCGATGGAGATGAATTGATCAGGATGAGACGGATGCTGATGATGATGCTGATACTTATGATGCTGTTGACGATGCTGATGATGCTGAGGATCATGATGATGCTGATGATGATGACAATGATGATGCTGATGATGCTGCTGATGATGCTCATGCTGATGATGCTGATGCTGATGCTGATGATGCTGATGCCGATGGTGGTGATGATTCTGCTGATAATGATGATGCTGCTGATGATGATGACGATGATGATGATGTCGGTGGCGGTGGTGGAGATGACGCTGATGCTGCTGAGAACGCAGTTGATGATGCCGATGCTGATGGTGATGATGGTGATGATGGTGCTGCTGACTGTGATGCTGATACTGGTGATGGTGATGATGATGCTGATGCGGATGCTGATGACAGTGATGATGCCGATGCTGCTGATGATGGTGATGGTGATGCTGACGCTGATGCTGATGCTGATGACAATGATGGTGATGCGGGTGATGCTGATTATGATGATGCCGATGTTGCTGATGATGGTGATGATGATGCTGCTGCTGATGATGATGACGCTGATGTTGATGATGATGATGATGAGGATGAGGATGATGATGGTGATGATGATGATGCTGATGATGATGCTGATGATGATGATGATGATGATGACGATGAGGAGCAGCAGGAGGAGGAGGAGGAGGAGACGGACGAATAGGGGGACGAATCTGTTATGAAGTGGGATGGTTCTGGGGGATTCTGGTTGCGTCTGGTGGAGCCTGCAGAGTAGTGGTGGATGGGGGAGGGGGAGGGGAGTGGGTCAGGGGAAGGCGATAGGAGGGACAATGGTATAGGGCAGATGGGGAGGGGTGAACGGAGGAGAGAGTGTGGGGAGATGGCTGCCCCGTGTAAGGCTAGCGCCCTGTGCAACATTCTCAGGCTGGGCGACTCTTTCTCCGCGGCCATCGCCGACACCTGCACCGAGCCGCTGGCGAGTCGGACATCCCCCAATGTACCCACCCGTCCGATCCTCGACTCTCTTTCTCCCGCCTCTCTCGCGAGGACATAAGAGGATACTTCTACCCCTCCTTTCTTCCTTTCTTCCTTTTCCGCTGCCTCAGCCGTTGCGGCTCCAGACTGGCTGAACCCAAGTCCTCGCGGCTGCCGCAACATACGTTTGTCTAGACACTTGCGTTCGCTATGCACGCCCGCATATCTTGTGGCTGTTCCTGTGATGCCGCCGCTGCTTGTGAGGCGGCTACTTGTCGGCTGGCAGCTCACCTTCCATGTTTGTTGTGGTGCACTTTACCTAGCTCGTGTGCAGCACCACTGTGCGGGTGCTCTGGCAACCTGACCTGCTCAGCTCTGAGGCCACTGGGCAGTGATGATTTGTTGATAGTTCGCACTTCTGCAACATAATTATTGTTGACCCCCCCTCTTCTGTGCACCTTCTGTCTTCCGTTCAAGTGTTCCTCCCAGGCTTCGCGCCCTGTTCATTCCAAGTGAAAGTCTCGTTTTTTTCGTATTTCGTATTTCGAGTCCCTACCGCCCCCCGAAGTCGCATTTTCTTTCATGCGCCGTGCGAGCTGAACGTGGGAAAGTGCCTCGGGAGAGGTGTTGGCTCGACCTCCTTGGGCGGGAGATCTGGGTGTGGGAATGTCGCCCCCTTTCACGTAGTTTCCACGAGAGGGGTTCGCATCATGGCGGATGCATGCGGCATGTAGAAGCATGGTGCATGATGGTAACATGATTGTTGCACTCTCATGCCTAGAGAATAATTATTGTTCGCCCCCCCCTTCGGTGCCCATGGTTTTTCGCGCTGTTCCATTTAAGTACTCCTCCCGGGGCTCGCATCTGGCTTATAACAACTGGAAGTATGGGGCTTCAGAATGCGTCGTTGGGCCCTGAACTACAACAACAACGGCTCCGGCCTGATACGTCCTCACACGTTATTTCAAAATCGCGCTCTCGCGCGGGACTTCCTGATAATGTATCCATGAATCGCGCTCTCGCGTGGGATTTCTTGCAATTCATTGCGGCGCCGTGCCCCCAACACTCAGGAATCACGCTCTCGCTTTGGATTTCTTCGCGATTTGCTTGGGACCCGCGCTGTCACCCGAAACTTCCTTGAGATTCATGTTGGGTTGACGCTTCATTGACCCGCCCGCTCGACCCGGCCGTCTGGGCCCGCCGGCCCGACCTGTCCGTTAGAGTCCGCCCGCCCGACCCGCCCGTCCAGTTTTGCCGCCTGTGCTCCTTTTCCCAACCCTCCTCCTGCAAGTCTCCCTCGTGCTCTATCCTTCTCCCTACCCCTTGTCTCTTCCCTTCCCCTTACCTTCCCCTGTTTTACGGGCTGCGCCAACTGCGCGTGGCAGGTAAGGAAGACATACCCCCAAGGGGTGTGCGATCGAAGACGAAGAGGGCGGGTGCCGAGGTTTCGCGATATACGTGTTGAGTCGCACGCAAGCAGATAGGAGCGAACAGTCTCAACATGATTGTTGTTGTCGGTGTTGTTGCTGATGTTGAGTTTTCGTTTCTAAATCTGCAATCGTTTTGTTGTTCACACCTTCCGGTGCGCTTTGCGTTGTTTTAACTTGCTTCATTTTTTTGCAAAAAAAATATCATGCGCACTTCCCAGGGCGCGCATTTTTTTCTACAATGGAGCGTCTTGGTCCTCGAACCAGGCCTCTGGCCCACTGTTTTGCAACAACAGCGGCTCCCGCCAGATATTTCCCCACAAGTTATTTCAAAGTCGCGCTCAAGCGCGGGAGTTCATCATACTTTATGCAGGAATCGTGTTCTTGCGTGGGGCACTTCATCACAATTTACTGCAGGCGCCGTGCCCCCAAGACTCAGGAATCATTCTCTCGCTACTGATTTCCTCACGATTAAATTGGGACTCGCA